GCAGACGTCACTCGTTTGCAGTCATGGAACTCTCTACCATCTCACGTGGTCTGTGCCCCAACATCTTTCAAGCGTCAGCTTGATGATGCTCTCGCAAACATTACGTTTCAACACCCAACTACATAACATATTCTCCTGTGCTCGTCAAAACATAACCTTACTACTTTACTTCCATGGACTAACTGTGATATTGTGAATCGTGATCCGAAGCAAAGTGGGATGGGATTTGAAAAAGCGAAGTCTTCGTAAGTTATATCCCATAATAAAAATTTTAATCTGAAATTTGAAAATTTGAATTTGGCCGTAATAAACGTGTATGATCAGACAATCGAACAAGCAATACTGAGGTTAGGTGCTGAGTAACACATGATCCTAATGATGCACTGGATCCACTTTTGTTCAGTTGCATTTCGTATCTGTACTGTGAGACTGCTACTCTGTTCTTTCACCATTTTTCAACCAACTGGGCTGCCACACAAATAGTTGCCGAAGCCACCGCACGCAAGCTTGAGTTTACCAGCTGTTCAAACCGAACCGAACTGGTTCAATTCACTGTCACTGGGGTGCTACAGACCCTAAAGTCTGATGTTCTGAAAGTGTCGTTGTCAGTCCCTCTTTATGGTTCTGAGACCCTGAATTGTCGAGTAGAAGATATCCATTGGCCAGATGTTTTCGACTATCGGTATTTACGCAGTTTAACCCACGTTGGATGGAGCGAACGGGTTAGTACTCTGGAGGTAAGCCGTCGTGTGTTTGGGAGTCTGTCAGGTATAAACCTGCTAGCACGCCGAATTCAGAGTAGACTTTGCTGGCTAGGGCACATAGCGTATAGTCAGCTGTTGTCTGCCGCACCGCGCTTTATTCGCTGTAGCTAATCCGGGCTAGAGGAAACCACGCGGAGGTCAACAGATGACGCGGAATCGAGGCATGAAGAAATGCAAAGAGCCATTAGGTGAAATAAGTGTCTTCCGTCTTCCAGGTTGGGGTCCGAAAGACTCCGCAACTGGGTGGTTGGAGACATTAAGGGATATGGCAGCGAACTGACAGCTGTGACGTTCTTGTTTTCATTTCTTATCAGGCCAGAATGCTTGAAACGGTATGTATGCAGAGTTCGATTGCGTATTCTGTTTGTTGACCACAGTGGCTCATCTTCTTCTCCCTTCCTCAAAATAGATCCAATCCCTATCCACCTTAACTTTTACCAGTAATCTTGTATGCATTGCGAGTTTGGCAGCGATCAGTGAAGTTCACCTCACTGCATTTCGTTGTATGATGATGATGAGTGAACTGAACTGAACTGGAGCCGATTACACATGAAGTTGGCGAATCAAGGTTAGATTCCCTTATGTGTGTCGAGACAGAGAAATATTGAAAGACATGTGACATGGAGATTTTTATGCAGACTGATGTAAGAGGTGATAAATGGGAATCCACAAAAAGTGGTGAAGATACTGAGTAGGCAGTAAAGACAAGGGAGAAATCCAAAGGCCCCGCCGAAGGCAGAATACTTTAATGATTCACAGATACCAAAAGGTGATTCGTAAATATTGCTCACCTGTTTCCGGCTGCCTCGTGCTCAGCCATCAAACGGGAACGCTCCTTCTCCTGTTCGGCGATTCGCACTTCCAACTCGCGTACCTGGGACTCGTATTGTTTGAGAAGGGATAAATATGATTCATCTCCTGTCGCGCTCTCCAAGCTGATTAGTATTTGATTTTTGTGGTTCAAATTGGCCTCAAGGGACTCCATGCGTCTCTTACACGCCAGACGACGAGCACGCAATTCACACCCGCGACGATCTGGACAGGGTCAAAATCGGCGGGGGGATGAACGGAGAGATTCAAACGTGGGTGAAACTGTATGACGATTGGTATGGTAGCGAAATGGCGCGAACAGGCAAAGTTCAGGAATATATGACATGAGCTGATACACGTGCAACGAAAAAACGCGCATGAAGGCAATTCGTAAGCGTTGGTCACGGAGACGGAAAGCGAGAACCAACAACTGACCTATGGTTTGACTAGTATCCACCGTTTCATTCTCACATTCCGATTTTATCAACGATGAATGAGCATCCCCATCCGCTTCGCGGGAAACATCCGTTGGGGGATCCAGTTCTGAGGATTCCGCCGTTAGTTTGCACTGTTCATAAGCTTCGTCCAATTTGGCTTGAACCAGCTGAAGTCAAACGTGCACAATAGTTTGATGGAACAGAGCACCATTAAGTAGGAGACAAAAAAAGAAACGCAAGAATAGGAGATGGGGACTATTAATTGGAACACGTACCTCTGATTGGTCCGAACTACGAAGAGAGTTGATCGTTGTTAGGATCTGATCAATCGATTCGATAAACTGTTTCAAGTCGACGTTCTGGTCGCGCTCGAGTTGATCAGCAACAGAAGACTTGAATAAGCTGTTAAAATCGGTGAATTATTACGCGAATACCGAGGCCTACCTGAAAGCGTGGACAAATTTATCCAGCTCGGTCAAGATGGCATCCTTTAATGTTTCGGCATTGAACACTTTGCGATACAACTCCGAATTGTCATCTAACGCACGATCCAATTCATCGCACAACTTCCGTTTTTCAGTCTGGAGTATGTGAGGAAAACAGGTAGAAAAGTGGAGAATACAAAATGCAGACGGCGTGCACGTGCGAGGGCGAACAAGAAAGACCAATGCTACTGCAAAACACTTAAATAAACGTGTAGATATTAAATAAATGATTACCGACCATTAGATGGGTTAGATGGATAAACAGAATGAGTAAAATCCAACGTGAATCAATTTTTGGAGTGTATTAGAAACAGTCTTCTCGAGGAGAGAACAAAACCTAATTCACATAAAACTGACGTCACTTTGGTTGAATGAACCCATAGAGGAAACAAATATTGTATCAGGAGAGATTTATAGAAGTAACGAAAATTCATACGTCAACGTCCCCATTAGAACAGTGTACTCCGCCGTGAATCACTCAGGTACCAGTTGATTTATCAAGATATTACTGATGATACCGA